GAGTCAGCACACACCCCCAGCCCGGCCCAAAGACAGGAGTCAGCACACACCCCCAGCCCGGCCCAATGATAGGAGTCATCACCTACCCTCGGCCCAAAGACAGGAGTCAACAACACACCCCCCAGGCCGGCCCAAAGACAGGAGTCAGCCACACCCCCCAGCCCGGCCCAAAGACAGGAGTCAGCACACACACCCCCAGCCCGGCCCAAAGACAGGAGTCAGCACACACCCCCAGCCCGGCCCAAAGACAGGAGTCAGCACACACCCCCAGCCCGGCCCAATGACAGGAGTCAGCACACACCCCCGGCGTGCCAGAGCTGTTTCACCACACTAAGCTGTGGAGCCTCTCCGCCAGCTCTCTGCTCTTTCAGACTTTCTCCTTTTTCTCTAACATCAATATAAACAGGAGTTGTCGTCTCTGGTCCATCTGACCACCACACAGAGAGAGACAGATGCCATGCTGTGTCTGAGAGGAGGTGAGGAGAGGAGGAGGAGGACAGAGAGAGAGGGAGGAGAGAGAGGAGGAGCCAGAGGAGAGAGGAGGTGAGGAGAGGCTGCTGGGTGTCTGCAGTGCACAGCTCAGAAAACTGACAGATTATATTCTAGCTGCACCGGGCTGACAAAGGGCTGGGGGGAGGGAAGTGTCTGCTTCCTGTGGTGTGACTGTTAAGAACATACAGATATAGAATAGCAGTCTAATTCTATATAATGTGGTGATTGTATATAATAGGACTAGGATAATGTGATTGTATATAATAGGACCAGGATAATGTGGTTGTATATAATAGGACCAGATAATGTGGTTTGTATATAATAGGACCAGGATAATGTGGTTTGTATAATACTAGGACCAGGCTAACGTGGGTTGTATATATAGGACCAGGATAATGTGTTTGTATATAATAGGACCACGGATAATGTTGGTTGTATATAATAGGGACCAGGATAATGTGGTTTATATAATAGGGACCAGGATATTGTGGTTGTATATAATAGGACCAGGATAATGTGGTTGTATATAATAGGACCAGGATAATGTGGTTGTATATAATAGGATAAGGTTGTGTTGGTCCTACCTTGTCCGGTTAGGTTCTAGTACTGTTCTATAAGGTTGTGTTGGTCCTACCTTGTCTGGTTAGGTTCTAGTACTGTTTCTATAGGTTGGTTGGTCCTAACCTTGTCCGGTTAGGTTCTAGTATGTTCTATAAGGTTGTTTTGGTCCTACCTTGTCCGGTTAGGTTTAGTACTGTTCTAAAAGGTTGTGTTGGTCCTACCTTGTCCGTTAGGTTCTAGTACTGTTCTAAAAAGGTTGGTGTTGGGTCCTACCTTGTTCCGGTTAGGTTCTAGTACTGTTTCTAGAAGGTTGTGTTGGTCCTACCTTGTCCGGTTAGGTTCTAGTACTGTTCTATAAGGTTGTGTTGGTCCTACCTTGCCTGGTTAGGTTCTAGTACTGTTCTATAAGGTTGTGTTGGTCCTACCTTGCCTGGTTTGGTTCTAGTACTGTTCTATAAGGTTGTGTTGGTCCTACCTTGCCTGTTTGGTTCTAGTGCTGTTCTATAAGGTTGTGTTGGTCCTACCTTGCCTGGTTGGTTCTAGTACTGTCTATAAGGTTGTGTTGGTCCTACCTTGTCTGGTTAGGTTCTAGTACTGTTCTATAAGGTTGTGTTGGTCCTACCTTGCCTGGTTAGGTTCTAGTGCTGTTCTATAAGGTTGTGTTGGTCCTACCTTGTCCGGTTAGGTTCTAGTACTGTTCTATAAGTTGTGGTTGGTCCTAACCTTGTCCGGTTAGGTTTCTAGTACTGTTCTATAAGGTTGGTGTTGGTCCTACCTTGTCCGGTTAGGTTCTAGTACTGTTATATAAGGCTGTGTTTGGTCCTACCTTGTCTGGTTAGGTTCTAGTACTGTTTCTATAAGGTTGTGTTGGTCCTACCTTGTCCGGTTAGGTTCTAGTACTGTTCTATAAGGTTGTGTTGGTCCTACCTTGTCTGGTTAGGTTCTAGTACTGTTCTATAAGGTTGTGTTGGTCCTACCTTGTCCAGTTAGGTTCTAGTAGTGTTCTATAAGGTTGTGTTGGTCCTACCTTGTCCGGTTAGGTTCTAGTACTGTTCTATAAGGTTGTGTTGGTCCTACCTTGTCCGGTTAGGTTCTAGTACTGTTCTATAAGGTTGTGTTGGTCCTACCTTGTCTGGTTAGGTTCTAGTACTGTTCTATAAGGTTGTGTTGGTCCTACCTTGTCTGTTAGGTTCTAGTAGTGTTCCTATACAAGGTTGTGTTGGTCCTACCTTGTCCGGTTAGGTTCTAGTACTGTTCTATAAAGGTTGTGTTGGTCCTACCTTGTCCGTTAGAGTTCTAGTACTGTTCTATAAGGTTGTGTTGGTCCTACCCTGTTAGTTCTAGTACTGTTCTTAATAAGGTTGTGTTTGGTCCTACCTTGTTAGGTTCTAGTTGCTGTTCTATAAGGTTGTGTGGTCCTAACCTTGTCCGGGTTAGGTTCTAGTAACTGTTCTAAATAAGGTTGTGTTGGTCCTACCTTGTCTGGTTAGGTTCTAGTACTGTTCTATAAGGTTGTGTTGGTCCTACCTTGTCTGGGTTAGGTTCTAGTACCGTTCTATAAGGTTGTGTTGGTCCTACCTTGCCTGGTTAGGTTCTAGTACTGTTCTATAAGGTTGTGTTGTCCTACCTTGTCTGTTAGGTTCTATGCTGTTCTATAAGGGTTGTGTTTGCTCTACCTTGCCTGGTTAGGTTCTAGTAGTGTTCTATAAGGTTGTGTTGGTCCTACCTTGCCTGGTTAGGTTCTAGTACTGTTCTAATAAGGTTGTGTTGGTCCTACCTTGCCCTGGTTAGGTTCTAGTGCTGTTCTATAAGGTTGTGTTGGTCCTACCCTTGCCTGGTTAGGTTCTAGTGCTGTTCTATAAGGTTGTGTTGGTCCTACCTTGTCCGGTTAGGTTCTAGTACTGTTCTATAAGGTTGTGTTGGTCCTACCTTGTCTGGTTAGGTTCTAGTGCTGTTCTATGAGGTTGTGTTGGTCCTACGTTAGGTTTCTAGTACTGTTCTAATAAGGTTGTGTTGGTCCTACCTTGCCTGGATAGGTTCTAGTACTGTTTCTATAAGGTTGTGTTTGGTCCTACCTTGTCCGGTTAGGTTCTAGTACTGTTCTATAAGGTTGTGTTGGTCCTACCTTGTCCGGTTAGGTTCTAGTACTGTTCTATAAGGTTGTGTTGGTCCTACCTTGCCTGGTTAGGTTCTAGTACTGTTCTATAAGGTTGTGTTGGTCCTACCTTGCCTGGTTAGGTTCTAGTGCTGTTCTATAAGGTTGTGTTGGTCCTACCTTGCCTGGTTAGGTTCTAGTGCTGTTCTATAAGGTTGTGTTGGTCCTACCTTGTCCGGTTAGGTTCTAGTACTGTTCTATAAGGTTGTGTTGGTCCTACCTTGTCTGGTTAGGTTCTAGTGCTGTTCTATGAGGTTGTGTTGGTCCTACGTTAGGTTCTAGTACTGTTCTATAAGGTTGTGTTGGTCCTACCTTGCCTGGATTAGGTTCTAGTACTGTTCTATAAGGTTGTGTTGGTCCTACCTTGCCTGGTTAGGTTCTAGTACTGTTCTATAAGGTTGTGTTGGTCCTACCTTGTCCGGTTAGGTTCTAGTACTGTTCTATAAGGTTGTGTTGGTCCTACCTTGTCTGGTTAGGTTCTAGTGCTGTTCATAAGGTTGTGTTTGGTCCACCTTGCCTGGTTAGGTTCTAGTGCTGTTCTATAAGGTTGTGTTGGTCCTACCTTGTCTGGTTAGGTTCTAGTGCTGTTCTATAAGGTTGTGTTGGTCCTACCTTGCCTGGTTAGGTTCTAGTGCTGTTCTATAAGGTTGTGTTGGTCCTACCTTTTCTGGTTAGGTTTCTAGTACCATTCTATAAGGTTGTGTTGGTCCTACCCCTTGCCTGGTTAGGTTTCTAGTACTGTTCTATAAAAGGTTGTGTTGGTCCTACCTTGTCTGGTTAGGTTCTATACTGTTCTATAAGGTTTGTTGGTCCTACCTTTTCCGGTTAGGTCTAGTACTGTTCTATAAGGTTTTGTTGGTCCTTTCCTTGTCCGGGTTTGGTTCTAGTACTGTTCTATAAGGTTGTGTTGGTCCTACCTTGTCTGGTTAGGTTCTAGTACTGTTCTATAAGGTTGTGTTGGTCCTACCTTGTCTGGTTAGGTTCTAGTGCTGTTCTATAAGGTTGTGTTGGTCCTACCTTGCCTGGTTAGGTTCTAGTGCTGTTCTATAAGGTTGTGTTGGTCCTACCTTGGGCTGGTTAGGTTCTAGTAAATGTTTTTATGAGGGTTTTGTTGGTCCTCCTTGTCCGGTTTTGGTTCTAGTACTGTTCTATAAGGTTGTGTTGGTCCTCCCCTTTTCTGGTTAGGTTCTAGTACTGTTTCTATAAGGTTGTGTTGGTCCTACCTTGTCCGGTTTGGTTCTAGTACCATTCTATAAGGTTGTGTTGGTCCTACCTTGCCTGGTTAGGTTCTAGTACTGTTCTATAAGGTTGTGTTGGTCCTACCTTGTCTGGTTAGGTTCTAGTACTGTTCTATAAGGTTGTGTTGGTCCTACCTTGTCCGGTTAGGTTCTAGTACTGTTCTATAAGGTTGTGTTGGTCCTACCTTGTCCGGTTAGGTTCTAGTAGTGTTCTATAAGGTTGTGTTGGTCCTACCTTGCCTGGTTAGGTTCTAGTACTGTTCTATAAGGTTGTGTTGGTCCTACCTTGTCCGGTTAGGTTCTAGTACTGTTCTATAAGGTTGTGTTGGTCCTACCTTGCCTGGTTAGGTTCTAGTACTATTCCATAAGGTTGTGTTGGTCCTACCTTGTCCGGTTAGGTTCTAGTACTGTTCTATAAGGTTGTGTTGGTCCTACGTTAGGTTCTAGTACTGTTCTATAAGGTTGTGTTGGTCCTACCTTGCCTGGTGGAGACGTTCCTCTCGTTTCCGGCGGTGAGAACCACCTGAGGGTGACTCTGCTCCAGAGAGAACATCTCATCCTTCCCCACGCGGCTGCTCTTCCCACTCTTCATGGTCCCGCTCGGCCCCGACGGCGCCAGGTAGCGGCCCAAAACAATCCCTGAACGCCACCTTCCCGGAGCGGAACTCCAGCGTGTATCCGGTGGTCTTGTCGGGCGCGGCCTCCAGGCTGCCGTCGTTCTTCAGGAAGCGGTTATCGGACGTCTGCAGGTGGTAGCGTTGGTCTCTGAACACCAGGGTGATGAGGGAGTCTACTCCCCAGGGACTTCAGGGTCTTGAGCCCCCCCACCTTAAAGGACAGGTGGGCTCCCGCTTCCTGGTCACGCGAAATGTTCACCGGGTGGGTGGGGTTAGGGGGTCAGGCTTTAGAGGGGGGTGGAGGAGAGGGGGGGGGGGGGGGCAGGGTGTGTGTTACCTGAGGGTGCATGGCAATGTGAACGCTCCATTTTTCAGCCACTGATGCAGTCTGGGGGGGAGAGAGGGGGAAAGGAGAGAGAGAAGAGAGAGAGAGAGAAAAAGAAAGAAAGAAGAGGAAGAGAGAGAAGAGAGGAAGAAGAGGGGAAAAGAGAAAGCAAACACATTACAAAATTATGGGACACACCTAGCCCCTTTTTTTTAACAACATTAGAAAAGAACGTTATACTTTTCTTCACTCATCATCAGTCTAACATCCCCTTTTTCAAACAGCTTTTTCCCGTCCTCTTTCCTCCCAAACTGCCGTGGACCTCGACTGCAGAAAAAACCATAAATAAAAAAAATCACACACTACATCGTCTATTTCCTCTTTCTGACAAAACACCTCCACACATTAGACACTACACTACACTTCACACACACAAACAAGCACATTCAATCCCTATGTTTGGGTTTTCAGCCGTTACAGTCGCCCAACATTTAGCGCCACGTGAACTACAATTCCAAACGCTGTGTTTTAACGTTTCCAAAAATCTAGAAAAATCGCTTTCTAAACAGGTTTTTCAAAACAAATGCTGATAGGTCCCTTATTACATTTTACATTTACGTCATTTAGCAGACGCTCTTATCCAGAGCGACTTACAAATTGGTGCATTCACCTTATGATAGTCAGTGGGATAACCACTTTACAATGTTTTTTTTTTTTTTTTTTTTTTTTTTTGGGGGGGTGGGGGGGGGGGGGGGGTTTGGAGTAAAGGGGGGGGGGTGGGGGGGGGGGTTGGGGTAGGAAAGGATTACTTTATCCTATCCCAGGTATTCCTTAAAGAGGTGGGGTTTGAAATGTCTCCGGAAGGTGGTGAGTGAGTCCGCTGCTTATCTTTCATATCAGTGAGAAAGAATCTTACTGTAGCAGTTTATCACAGATCAGCAAGCTGTGGTACCTCCAGTTGACCAACTACACTTCCTACCCAGTTAGCTTCCACACAGGTTATGTTAGACTAAAAACAGACTGTTACCATGGTTACTCCATGGTTACCAGTCTGGAGAAGTCTGTTACCATGGTTACTCCATGTTACCAGTCTGGAGAAGTCTGTTACCATGGTTACTCCATGTTACCAGTCTGGAGAAGTCTGTTACCATGGTTACTCCATGTTACCAGTCTGGAGAAGTCTGTTACCATGGTTACTCCATGTCACCAGTCTGGAGAAGTCTGTTACCATGGTTACTCCATGTTACCAGTCTGGAGAAGACTGTTACCATGGTTACTCCATGTTACCAGTCTGGAGAAGTCTGTTACCATGGTTACTCCATGTTACCAGTCTGGAGAAGTCTGTTACCATGGTTACTCCATGTTACCAGTCTGGAGAAGTCTGTAGTGTCTCTACGAGGCAGAATGTTGAATAAAATCATATTTTAAAAACTTTACCGGTTGTACATGTTTGTTGGTCCTTTTGGCGGTAGGGAGGGGGATCCACAGGGAAGTGATGCACCACATGTAAACAATAGCCAAATGTAGTCGACCGAAGCACGTTTCCTCGTGTAACCGGTGTGAAATGGCTAGCTAGTTAGCGGTGCGCGCTAGTAGCATTTCAAAATCGGGGTGACGTCACTCGCTCTGAGACCTTGGAAGTAGTTTTTTCCCCTTTGCTCTGCGAGGGCCGCGGCTTTTTGTGGAGCGACGGGTAACGGGTGCTTCGAGGGTGACTGTTGTCGATGTGTGCAAGACGGTCCCTGGTTCAAGCCCAGGTAAGGGGCGAGGAGAGGGAACGGAAGCAACACGGTTACACAACGCAAATCAGCTGGAAGTGTTTGCAACAGTATTGAATATAAAAAGGCAGAAATACAAAACGATACACAGACCGGCATACTGAAGGTCAGGTTGATGACACTATGGATATTTTGTCTCACATTCCTCCCTGCAAAAAGGACCGACCACATGGACAACTGGCTTTCATTCTATTCAGCGTTCTGGCTTGTAGAGGTCATGAGAGGAAACGTTCCTGATCCAAACGCCTCATTTCTGCCCTATGATGTACACTGCACAACAATACAAAACGCAACATGTAAAAAAGTGTTGGTCCCATGTCTCATGAGCTGAAATAAAAAGATCCCAGAAATGTTCCATCCACACAAAAAAAGCTTATTGTGCTCAAATTTTGTGCAGAAATGTGTTTACATCCCCTGTTAGTGAGCATTTCTCCTTTGACCAAGATAATCCATCCACCTGACAGGTGTGGCATATCAAGAAGATGATTAAACAGCATGATCATTACACAGGTGCACCTCGTGCTGGGGACAATAAAAGGCCACTCTAAAATGTGTAGTTTTGTCCCACAACACAATGCCACAGATGTCTCAAGTTTTGAGGGAGCGTGCAATTGGCATGCTGACTACAGGAATGTCCACCAGAGCTGTTGCCAGAGAATGTAATGTTAATTTATCTACCATAAGCCGCATCCAACGTTGTTTTAGAGAATTTGGCAGTACGTCCAACAGGCCTCACAACCGCAGATCACGTGTAACCACACCAGCCCAGGACCTCCACACCCGGCTTCTTTACCTGCGGTATCGTCTGAGAGGGGAGAGGGGGGGCTGCTAAGGAGTATTTCTGTCTGTATTAAAGCCCGTTTGTGGAGAAAAACGTATTCTGATTGGCTGCGACCTGGCTCCCCAGTGGGTGGGCCTGGCTCCCCTCCCAGGCCCACCCATGGCTGCGCCCCTGCAGTCAGTCAGGTGACTGAAATCCATAGATTAGGGCCTAATGGATTTATTTCAATTGACTGATTTCCTTATATAAAACTGTAAAAAAAATCTTTGAAAATTGTTGCATGTTGCGTTTATATTTTTGTTCAGGCAATTCAACTCAACATCGGTTCTCTAGGCTAAGGTGTTCAAAGCGTTTTGGCAACGGGTGCCGCCTAGGTTTTCTGTCAGTCTTCCTTAAACATGCGCTGTGGCATGGAGATAAGGCCTTGTGGGAACATTAACCCTATAAAAAAATAAAAAGGTGTGTAGAACTAGAAAATGTAGGCTACCGTTTGTTTTTTTGAAAATAATTTATTGCCGATATGAAAGACACATTCCTTATGTTTCCAAAACAGTACCCCAAGCGATGCGCGTTAACGTTTAGAGCAAGCGTCCGGGACTCTTTAACACCCCCCGGGTCAGAAGATACTATCGTTAATAGGCGCCAAAGCGGTTACCGTCTATGAATAGGGGTAACAATACATAGGCAAGTCTCTCATGCGTTCACTCTCACCCCCTTCATCCTCTTATCCTACCTGCAGAGACCATCTCCCATCGTCGTGAGCCGTGATGATGAACCGGGTCTCGGGTCCAGAACTCTCACTATCCCCGGTAACGTTCCCGTCTTTATCCACCGCTATGTAACGACCCAGGTGCGACTTGAGACAGAACACATTACCGGCAGCCTCCTCCCCGCTCTGCTCCAGGGTCCAAATCTGCTTCTTCTTCAAGCTCGTGGCCGAGGCGTTGATTTTAAATCCGAACGTTTCAGCCGTGAGGTATTTATTCCCGCAGTTGATCAAACCGAACTGGATCTGAAGCATGTCGCTGGTCCCGTTACTGGCCCCGTTACTACACATGATGATCGATCTTTTCTCGGTTCCAACCGGTCCGGGTGAGTGTGTGTTGTTCTGGTCACGAGGATTCCGTGGCTCGGACAGATGCGGTCTGTTCCTCCGCCTGGCGAGCTTCTCTTTGTTTGGGAAGTGTCTGAGTAGGAGGAAAAAGGAGAGAGAATGTGGTGCGGTGTGTGTGCGTATGGGCGCTCGCAAGTCCTCTGTGCTTTCCCACAGCATCCGCTCCGTGCCACAGCTGCACTTTTTATACTGGTTGGTGACGACAGCCCGCAGGTCACGCCCCCTCTGGATAGAACTCGGGATGCATCTCAACATTACAAGGCTAGTGGCCTCTTCTCCTCCTCTCCTTTCCTGCCTCCCCTGTCCCCTCCCTCTATCTCCGTCCTCTCCCCTACCCCCCTCTTCATTTGCATCCTCCTCCTCTCTCCTCCTCTCTCTCTCCTGCTCCCCTCCTCCTCCTCTCCCCCCCGACACAACCCCTCCGTTCCTCGCCTGTCCTCTCCCCACCTCCCTACTCCCCGTCCCTCCCCCTCTTCTGACTCTCCCCTCCCCTCGACCTCTCTCCTGAGAACTCCCCTCTTAGAGCTACCGGTCCACGCCCCATCTAGCCTCCTACGAACTGTCCCTTCTCTCTCCTCTCCCCCTCCCCTCCTGTCCCCTCTCTTCTCTCCCTCATCGCCTCTCCTTTCTTCTCCTTTCTCCCCTCTCCTCCCCCCTCTTCTCTCCCCGTTCTCGTCCTCCTTCGTCTCCTATCCCTCTCCCCACCAGGGAAGAGGAGTAGAGTACTTATATTATTAGAAGAGAGAGTATGGAGAAGTTACCTGGAATCCACTATGGTCTCCCAACAGTTTAACATGATACCAGGGAAGAGGAGTACAGTAGTAATGTTTTTTTAATGCCCAGCTCACGTGGCCCCTTGATGATATGAGGCCTGAGGCAATTGCCTCTTCTGCCTAACGGTACGTCGGCCATTGGTTCTACTGTGGGTATCTACAGTATTTATCATTATATTCTACAGTATCTATCCAACACTAAGGATTCTAAAGTAGCTAATCTATATATGTAGATCTCTGTATCAAAAATGATACTACTATCACAAAATAACAAATAAGATTCAAAAACAAAGGCCAATCAGTTTTGTGTGTGTTGGTGGTGTGTGGTGTGACCACAGAGGATCTATTCATTGACCATATCACATAACGAGGGCGAGCGGAAAGGACCAGAGTTCCACAAACAAAGAGTCCAGAAAAGTAAAAATCAGGCGGCGAGAAGCAGAAAAACAAACATTAAAAACCACACACAAAAAAACAAAAAAAAAAAACCCCACCCAAAACACAACCAGGCACCAACAACCACCACCGTCCAAAACAAAAACCAAAAACAAAAAATAAAAAAAAGAAAAGGGCATACCACAAAGGAGGGTTATTTCATACAGTGTGGTTTTTTTTAAACAGTCATTTGTTCGGGTATGTCAAACCAGAACAGTGTTTCTCAATTCTAACCCAGACCCCGCGATGCTTTCTAACCCCGACCACCCTCTCATAAAACTACTCCCCAAAACCTCCCTCTAAACCAGGAAGTAGCTATGGATGAATGATGATGATGATGTTGATGAAACCTCCCCCCCCCTATCCTGAACCACTCTCCACACCCCTAAACCAGGAAAGTAGCTATGGAGGAAAACCTACCCCCCCTTTCCTGAACCACTCCCCAACTCCCTAAACCAGGGCAAGTAAGCTATGGATGAATGAAACCTCCCCCCTCTCCTGAACCTACTCCCCAACCCCCTAAACCCAGGAAGTAAGTAGCTATGCGATTGAAAACCACCCCTCTCTGAACATAATCCCAACCCCCTACCCAGGAATAGAAAGTAGCTATGGAGAATGAATGAAACATCCCCCCCTCTCATTAAAAAACCTACTCCCCAACCCCCCAACCCAGGAAGTAGTAATAGCTATGGATGATGAAACCTCCCCCCCTCTCCTGAACCTACTCCCCAACCCCCTAAACCCAGGAAGTAGCTATGGATGAAACCTCCCCCCTCTCTGAACATAAGAAAAAAAAAACTAAACACAGGACAGTAGCTTAGGGATGAAACCCCCCACCCTCTAATCGTGAACCTACTCCCCAACCCCCTAAACCCAGGAAGTAGCTATGGATGAAACCTCCCCCCCTCTCCTGAACCTGCTCCCCAACCCCCCCCTCCTCTCTGAACCTGCTCCCCCCAACCCCCCCCCTCTCCTGAAAACATACTCCCAACCCCCTAAACCGGAAGTAGTATGGATGATGAAACCTCCCCCCCCTTCATGAAACCTACTCCCCAACTCCCCAAACCCAGGAAGTAGCTATGGATGAAACCTCCCATGATGAAGGACTCCTATAACTACCCACCAGAATCAGCTCCAAATCACATCAGTATGAGCTGAACACGATTGGACCAGGCTGTGTTAGAGCAGGCTGCAGCAAAAAGCCTTGGACACAAGAGCTCTCAGTAGGGGGAACACATTTTTCTCTCCTCTCGAGAGAAGAGAGAGGGGGAAGGAAGGAAAGAGAGAGAGAGAGAGAGAAGAGAGAGAGAGAGAGAGAGAGAGGAAAGAGAGAGGAGAGAGACAGAGCGAGAGAACGAGAGAGAGGGAGAGAGAAGAGAGAGAGAGACAGAGAGAAACGAGAGCCGAGAGAAGAGGAGCGACGGAGAGAGAGAGAGAGAGAGAGAGATAGAGAGAGAGAGAGAGAGAGAGAGAGAGAGAAAGATAGGAGGGGAAAGAGAAAGAGAGGAGAGAGAGAGAAGAGAGAGAGAGAGAGAGGAGAGAGAGCAGAGAGAGCAGAGTAAGAGGATTCGCGAAAAAGCTGGGGGCGAGAGAAGGGATGGAAGAAAAAACGAAAAGGAAAAAGGCAAAAAAAAGAAGAATATAAGGAGGAATGGGACGGGGCGGTGGGAAGAACAACACACAAAAAAACACCCAAAAACAAACAACACAGACTACTCCCCCCCCTCAGCCTCCTAATTAATCCTCCTATCTATCTCTACTTCCAGCGGGTAAGGTGGTAATCATTGTTACACTACCACAACACATTCTCTCTCTCTCTTTCTGTCTCTTCTCTCTCTCTCTCCCAATTTCAATTCAATTCAAGGGGCTTTATTGGCATGGGAAACGTATGTTAACATTGCCAAAGCAAGTGAAGTAGATCATAAACTAAAGGGAAATAAACAATCAAGAATAAAGACATTTCAAATGTCATATTATGTCTATATACAGTGTTGTAACAATGTGCAAATAGTTAAAGTATGTGTGAGCAGAGCCTGCTGAGCATCTGGTACATGCCATTGGCTTGGGCTAGTGTAAGAGTGGGTGTTGGGCCTGTTTGCCTGCTCACGGCCTGGGCGTATGTGTGACTTTCATGTTGAGGCCCTCTTTGCGGTAGTGGGGGGGCATGGGGTGGCTAGGAGGGGCATAGGTCTGATCTGAGGGGGCCTAAATGGGGTGTGGGCATGGTTGGTTTGGGGGGGGGGGTGTTAATTGGTGGGGGTGGGGGTGTAGATGTGGTTGATGGTGCTGTGGTCTGGATGTAGGTCCTCTCAGCGGGGGGGTCCTCTATGTGTAGGTCCTGGGGGGGTCCCGCAGGTCTGGGAGAGTGTCTCGCTGGTCTGGGCGGGTGTGTTTTGTTGATCTGTTGCTCCTGTGTGAGGTGTTGGGTCTGCGGTTGAGGACGATATCCTTTAGGGTCCGGGCGAAGGTGGGGCACTGCTGCCTTGTATAGGTTGGACTGGTCACTAAAGCTGTTCAAGTCCAGGGTGGAGTGGTGGGCCAGGTAGACATTTGGTTTTGAGGCACAGTCACGGGAAATACTTGCGTTTACCCGCTGTATGGTAGCAGGGTGAAAGTACTTTTGTTAATTCTTACAACCTAGAATGAAAATAGATTTTTTGGGGTTTACACAACATGATTTGATTTACACAACATGCCTACCACTTTCAAGATGCAAAATATTTTTTCTTGTGAAACAAGAAAACTTGAGTGTGCATAACTATTCACCCCCCCCCCAAAGTCAATACTTTGTAGAGCCACCTTTTGCAGCAATTACAGCTGCAAGTCTCTTGGGGTATGTCTCTATAAGCTTGGCACATCTAGCCACTGGGATTTTTGCCCATTCTTCAAGGCAAAACTGCTCCAGCTCCTTCAAGTTGGAGTGGTTCCGCTGGTGTACAGCAATCTTTAAGTCATACCACAGATTCTCAATTGGATTGAGGTCTGGGCTTTGACTAGGTCATTCCAAGACATCCATCATTCCTTCAATTCTGACCAGTTTACCATTCCCTGCCGATGAAAAACATCCCAAAAGCATGAAACTGCCACCACCATGCTTCACTGTGGGGATGGTGTTCTCGGGGTGATGAGAGGTGTTGGGTCTGCGCCAGACATAGCATTTTCCTTGATGGCCAAAAAGCTCAATTTTAGTCTCATCTGACCAGAGTACCTTCTTCCATATGTTTGGGGAGTCTCCCACATGCCTTTTGGCGAACACCAAACGTGTTTGCTTATTTTTTCTTTAAGCAATGGCTTTTTTCTGGCCACTCTTCCGTAAAGCCCAGCTCTGTGGAGTGTACGGCTTAAAGTGGTCATATGGACAATCTCCGCTGTGGAGCTTTGCAGCTCCTTCAGGGTTATCTTTGGTCTCTTTGTTGCCTCTCTGATTAATGCCCTCCTTGCCTGGTCCGTGAGTTTTGGTGGGCAGCCCTCTCTTGGCAGGTTTGTTGTGGTGCCATTATTCTTTCAATTTTTTAATAATAAGTTTAATGGTGCTCCGTGGGATGTTCAAAGTTTCAGATATTTTTTTATAACCCAACCCTGATCTGTACTTCTCCACAACTTTTGTCCCTGACCTGTTTGGAGAGCTCCTTGGTCTTCATGGTGCCCCTTGCTTGGTGGTGCCCCTTGCTTGGTGGTGCCCCTTGCTTGGTGGTGCCCCTTGCTTGGTGGTGCCCCTTGCTTGGTGGTGCCCCTTGCTTGGTGGTGCCCCTTGCTTGGTGGTGCCCCTTGCTTGGTGGTGCCCCTTGCTTGGTGGGTGGTGCCCCTTTGCTTGGTGGTGCCCCTTGCTTGGTGGTGCCCCTTGCTTGGTGGTGCCCCTTGCTTGGTGGTGCCCCTTGCTTGGTGGGTGCCACTTGCTTGGTGGTGCCCCTTGCTTGGTGGTGCCCCTTGCTTGGTGTGCCCCTTGCTTGGTGGTGCCCCTTGCTTGGTGGTGCCCATGCTTTGTGGTGCCCCTTGGTGGTGCCCCTTGCTTAGTGTGTTGCAGACTCGGGGGCCTTTCAGAGTAAT